AGTGACCTAGAGCAATCCCTTGCCGTCTTGCCTCAGCTCGATCGTTCGTATGTTGTTGGATCTCTGGACGGCCGATGTCGGCTTAAGTGAGCTAATTGCTATTCTCCTACGCAGCCGCTATTATGGAGGCAGTTTCCTGAGTTTTTTATATGTTTTAAAGTGATAAAAAAAATCGCTAATGATTGTTTTATTTCTCTTATTGTTCATTCGAATCATGCAAATGTTTGTCGAACCACGCTATAGAATATAACATTGACCCTCATGATTGTCCAAACGCGTTATAGATTGTCAATGGTTATGCTAATAGCACTAATGAATTTTCACTTTTGGGTAAATGATTGTCCATAAATCCTATTGTTTGTCATTTGGTGTTATTGAAGTTGAATTTCGCGCAAAAGAAAATATAATCCGCGCATATGAATGTAAAAACGCGCTATTGATTGTCCATTGATGCCTATGAATGTACACGCATATTCAAWTRTCGTTATTGAAAGTTGATCCGYGCTAATGATGTTACTTGTGGTGTTGATGAAAGTACATTACACGTTATTGATACAACTGTTAATGAATAGCAAAAGGTGTAATATAGATTGTGAAAAGGAGCGGTCCTAGGATAGATCTCTGAGGTATTCCGCAATTAATTTTAATGTAACTAAGACCGCCATTTTGGATAGCCATATTAATATAGGATATCATGAATTGCAATGAGAATGCGTATCACAGAAAGAAGTTGGTGTAGCGTCGTAGTTGTTTGATGTGTCACGTGGTGAAAAGAACCTATGAGAAAACGTTGTTGTTACGCACTTCCACGTGTCATTGGCTAATTTGTATGAAAACTTGTCTGGGTGCTCTTGGTTGGTGAAGCCTCCGCATTGTAAGAAAATATTATTTTTTTCAACTTATACATATATTTTTCATTTCAATTTGGCATATGTTTTTCCAAATTTTCATATTCATTGTGCTAGTGTATTGGAAATTATCTTTAAAATGCAGTTTTTTTGGTTTTTTTTTTTTTGCTGTTGTTATCCTTGTCTAGTGACTATGATTAAACTAGACTGTTTCCATAACTCATGTTCATTGTGCTAGTGTACTGGAAATTTGCTGTTGTTATCCTTGTCTAGTGATTTTACCAACTGACTAAGTCAACTAGACTGTTTCCATAATTCGGTGTTTTCACTCTCCTGTTGATTCTGGATGCTGCAAACCACAAAGGAGCGAAAACTACGGCTTATGGAATCAGCCTAACAATAATCAAGCAAATTTATATATATATTTTTTAATAAAAACACTTGAAGCTCTTGAAATTGACGCTCATTTATCATTCAACAGGTCTAGTACAATTTTGTATCGCGCGATTCACTAAACAGTTACTTATATTTTTGAGACGACAATATTTTGTAGTATTGTCGTTTCGAAATTAAGGTTTATGATTGGCTAACGTGCGACAAAAAGGATAAATGGATGCTATCACGGGGCTTCGCACCAACCACTAGCCGTGCTGCAGGTTTCTGAATTATTTGAAGGTTGCTTAGGTCAGTAGACGGTAGACCGTACAGGTACAGGATGCTATTACAATGGTCGGGCCTTCAGCTTATAAAGGCATGCACAAGGCATTCAAGGTGTTCACGTGTAAGGTAACGACGAATTCGGCCTAGATTGCGCAAGGCTGCAGAAGTGGCTTTGCAGAAAATTAGATAAAATATCAGAGATTCAAGAAAATCGTGCAGCCAGTCAGGCGCATCAACACATAGAGGAAAAAAATCTATGCGACAGGGCACCAGTTAACCCTGGCGAATAGGGTCTGGTTAGTTAAACAGTTGGTGTTGGAACAAATCTGGCTCTTTTCTCCCGAATGAGCCACAACAATGGGTAGCTCGTGGATAAATGGCAAGTTCAGTAAAACGAAAAACGTTTACGAAGTCCAAAGTTTGCACATTTTATACAGAGTTGCATGTTGTTGGGTAACACCGAGATTACAATGCAACGAACAATTTTTGTGAAATTTCGATCTTAAGTTGTTTACGAGAATATTTAAACAGTGCTTCTTCACTATAATGATTTTCAAGAATGTCCATCAACACATATATGTAAAAAAATTTGAGTTATGAAAAAAGTGATGAGAGGCAAACACAAATTGATAAGCGCACATGTTTTAGAAAGCCTCAAAGAAATTGAATTCAATTGAATTTATTCATCGCTGGAGTGAAAAACTGTTGGTCAACGTGTAATAGTCAAAAAGATATGGAACTAAGATCAACTATTGTGTATATGTTTAATATCTATGGAGTCAGTTTTTTTTAGTTTGAAACTCTCCACCTTTAACATTTGGGCTCTAATAGTTCTTGGCGTGGCAAGGCACCTGAATCAGTCAATAAACCAATAGCTTTAAGATAAAAATGAATCAAATTGAGCTGATCCTCGCAGTATATGAAGCAACTTATGGAGCTGCAAATTGAAAGACTCAGAAAACATTCTGAGTCTTGAACGACGGAAACATATGCAAGAAACTGATAGCGATCGTGAGCGATTCATGCATCAATAATTTCAGCGATCCGGCGATTCCTTCATATACTGCGAGGATCAGCTCAATTTGATACATTACAACCACAGTACAAATATATATTTCGTATATATTAACATACACAGATATAAATAAATCATCCTGCAAACCAAAAACCTTAATCCAGAATACAATAAATAAGAAAGACCCAACATTTGGAGTTGAATGTTGTGGGTTAATGGATAGTTCGTGTTGCACTGAAAGTTATGAAAGCATGTTAGTTTTTATTCGAATATTATTCGTTTTTATTTCATAATTGGATAACCCTATATTGTACTTTGGTAGAGTGCAAAGCATTTATCAGTGAAATAGCACAAACCAAAAAAAGCTCGAAACACATCTATTTTACTTTTGATTCATAATTGTTTCATTGCTGGCATTTTGTACTAATCAGTTAGTACTTTTTCGTGGATATATCATGGTTTGTTTTCTAACAAAGAGTTTGAAAGCTTTCGAAAAGAACCTGACACATACATGTACATAATAACGAATAATACCAACATAGACATAGGCAAAAAAATACATTCAATTGCACAAATGAAATAACAGGAATAACATGCGAAACTTTATGAAACCAGTAAACCGAGAAATAGAATGAAAGAGCTAGCTCTGACTTACCTTCAAGGTCCGTTTTAAAGTAATTGAGATAACATTGGCTCGTCTAATGATGCTAGGTCGATCAGAGACTTTCATTGACGTAGTGTTATTAAAAACGTCTGTAGAAGATATACAAGGGAAAGGCAGCTAGATCATTTTGAGAAGCGACGCAACAGTCTGGTTTGAACCGAAATACAACAGCATGCTAATGAGCGATCTCGTACCGAGTCTGCGTTTCCTCTGACCTGCGGCGAAGAACGAGGGCTCCGGCATAATCCATTTTTTGGCGCATGCGCAAGTTTCCAAGTGAGATATAATCATTGAAAATCATGCTTTCAAACAGAGTTCAGTGTTTACTTCCGATCAAGTTAAAAATTAGAAATCGAAAACATTTATTTTTATTTTTGGCAATTATTATATTATATTATTTTTGTTTCATGTCAACAATTATCGTCCCATTTCTCTTCCATCTGTATTTAATAAAGCTCTTGAAAAACGTATTTCTTGTGGTATCCCTCACAGATCAGTTCTTTGGCCATGACTGTTTCCATTATACGTAAATGATTTTTAGAACTCATCTAATATATTCTCTCTTTTTAAATCAGACTGATTGTTTATCTTGTATAGCATTTTAAATGAAAATAGGATATGATGTTCAATTTAAGTCAAATTTTAACCATGTTCCATTCCAATCTTAATTGGAAATCTCATATTTCTTTTATATCTCAAGCAAGATAAAACCTGCCATTATTTGAGTATGGAGTAAAGAACTTGTTTTTGTAACTTTTTATTATTCTTTGATCTTTCCTGCTATCTAATCTATGGTATTGTGGTATGGAGACATACCAATGAATCGACTGTAAAACCTTTGTTCATCCTACAAAACAAGGCTGGCGCCTTGAATATTACAAATTTTTAAGGCCATACAAATGTAATCTTTATCAAGCTTAAACTCTTGAAATTCTTTGAACTTGTTTGTTTTCATACTGCAATGCTTTCGTCAGCATTGCATCGCAGGTTGAAGACACATTTCCTCGAGGTACAGGGCCTTAAAGCGATATAACCTTTTCAAAATTTCAACTTTTCTTAGTAAAAAATATAAAGTCGAAACCTTGACTTTTTAATAAACCTTTAATTTATTCCTTGAAAATGTTCTCTAAACACAAATCCCTGGTAAATAGTCCAGCTATAGATCCTTTTACCTACGTCATGTTTTCCCATTTTAGACCACAAGCCATTCCCTAGAGTTTCCTTACTTTATTTAATGGTTGCGCATGAGAAGAGACATGAATATGGATACAACTCTCATTTTTTTAACCCTCTGAAATATTATTTATTATTTATTAAACTATAAGGCTGACATGTATTAGATCAGATGACAGTTAAAAAGGCAAGAGAAAATGTGTCATATCGAATGAGTTGTAGGTCGTTATAACACTTTTATTGATTTAAAGTGCTTATAAGCCTTTACACAATATTTTCAGAAGTGATTCTTCAAATAGTGAATAGTTGATTGTGATAATAATTCGTCATTTGAATGTCGGGTCTTCGAGATACGAAGGTTTATATTTCCAATATATTAATGACTATGACGTAACATAAGGGATTTGAGTTATTTTGTATTTTTAATATTGAACGCTGGACATTTTTTGAAAATAAATTTGTAAGAACCTCTACGTGAGTCACGAGTAAAAGGGCGATGCTTTTAAAATACTGTAATCCAGAACGAGTGCAGTGTTGTATATCAAATGATCCCTTATGTTACGTCATAGTCATTAACATATTGGGAATATAAACCTTCATATCTCAAAGACTCGACATTCAAATGACGAAATATTTTCACAATCAACTATCCATTATCTAAAGAATCAATTCTGAAAATGTTGTGTAAAGGCTTATAAGCACTTTAATGATTTGTTGCATTGAACCAAGAAAAATTATTCAATACGCAGTCAATAAGCCTCTTCAAAGATATCGCCGCCATCTTAAATTTTGCGTGAAAGCGAGGCTGACCTTGAGTCGTCAGGCACCATAAAGAGCTGATTTATGCCATCTTAAGTACCTTTCTTTCTGTCCTGACCTTTCTCTTCCTCTTATTCATTCATTCGTTCATTCATTCGATCACTAACTCGATCGATATCATTTGTCATTGCTTACTTGCCATTCCCGTCATTATCAACAGCCGAAGCAAATAAGAAAAAACTGAAAGTGAAGAAGAAACACTTAGAAAACTTTGTTACTCTACCCGACGTAGTTTGTATTATCTATTTTACAAAACTAGACTCTAATACATCATGATTAGAAAACAATATTCCAGAATTAATTGGTCATCAGCTCGGTTACCAATAATGTAGAGAATATAAGTCAGAGCCATATATTCTTGGCTTTCGCTTAAAGTTAAAAGCTATATGATTGATCAAGATTTTATCTAATGTTATCCTAGGCTAAAAAAACAACCGCGTATTAATTCACCAAAACTTCAAATTTACAAAAATTTATAGTTTTACTAACATTTTGCTTTAACTTGATCTTAATAGCTATTTATATTCATCCTAGAATAATCTGTACTCTATTAGGTCGTAATTCCGTTAGTGATTTTCAATTTCTTTAATTAGCATTTCTATATCAATACGTTCTTTCCTGGAAACACTAATAGAATGAGCTTTGGCTGCATTGTATTTTATATTGGCCGTTTTTAGCAATATATTTTTTTTCCTGACAGCTGATAAATAACAATTTTGAGTCAAGCTTATGATTCTCCGTCCATTCAGCAGCGCATGAATTCAAGTTGTACACACATGATTATCTGACTTACAATTCCTCTAATCAGTAGTCTTAGATGTAAACATATTAGTTTTCCAATTACTCAAAGTTTAAAGGCTGAAATGTTCCAACTTGTGAGGAAGATTTTGCAGGTAGTGAAAAAGAATCTTGGTGACACGAATCAAAACTATTTTCAGTTTGTTTTTCAGTTCGTTCGGAAGCTCTTTCTTGTGGTTCTTTGCCGGCTTTGGTTTCTTCTTGGCTTTTATTGTCCATCTTCTGTAAAAATTTGCTCACTTTAGCAGTAATTTCGTTCATTTGAGCTTCGTTCAACGAGCTATTGTTTCGTGAGAGTACTCTTCTAGGCGTTGAGGCGCCAGATATATTAGGACTTGGCGTAAGAATAGGGCTTTTCATTGCACCGCCATAGCTACCTCTTCGATCGCGTCTATGCCCACTTTCTGCGCTCAAGAGCCCACCGTCTCCAATAGGAGGCAGCGACTGCCGTCTTGGCTGATCGAAAGGAGCTTTAAGAAACATTGAAGTCGGTGATAATAAAGCGTTATTACCACTAGAATCATAGCTTAAAGGCTCATTCATGCCTTCGGATCCGAATCTCCTTCGAGTGGCAACGGGAGATCGCCTGGGGTCGGTGACTGGAAGTGGTAAACTTGCAGATAGTAATTCAGGCGGTGTACTGTAACGACGAGGAAGTCGTGGACTTAAGCTTCGGCTTGAATCCCCACTAATGTCAGTAACAGTGAGACGATTTCGCAGCTGATCTTCAACACCTAATTCTCTTTCCACCTTTTTCTTTTCTCTTTTCAGTTCTTTTTCGATAGTTCCCTTGTGGGATTCGATAGATCCAAGTTTGAGCTTCAGTCTGCGATCGGCTAGCGAGTTCATGGACAAAGTTTTATCTGCGTATTCTGTTCTCTGATAAGCCATGCTCTTAGATATACACCGTTTAAATTGGTGGTTAAAAATCTAATATTTAAACCAAAAGTCCAATTCCTTCAAAAAATATAGCTTTTTTCAAAACAAATTACTTGCTCCACAAAGATTAAGACTGTTGTTGACTTTTTTGCAGTAATTTTCCGGACGCAACGGAGTTTGTCTATTTTAATATTCACTTCTTTCACTGAGTGATAATTATGCAAATTTCTTCCTGACACACCGTAGCACCTGTCTCTACCAAAATAAAGTGTTTAAAACCCTAGAAATTTGGCTGATTTTCAGACGTTATCCTTACAAGTACTTCCAATTTTGGCTACGGAAAACAAATCTGGATTGTCACACCACTTTGCCGCCAAAAGCCCGAGGAAAAACAAGCGCGTATTCTATTTTATTTTACTGAACAAAGAAAGTAAACATATGAACTGCCAGTGGCTGGAAGTTAGCAGTAGAATAGAATTATGAAGTCGTTGCTTAGCAACGCTAAGGAATACTACAGGAACATATAGTCTATGTTCAAATATTGGCCTTTCTGATCTGAACGAGTAGGACACAGAAAATTGAAGTCAATGTTCAATGAAGCTGTATTTTTGCGATTTACCCTATATCGTAGCTGCGTGCCCTAAAATACGTATATGAGTACTGCTGATTAAGAGCTGTTAGGATCTGAGGAAACGGTTACGTACGACTGTAGACACATAGGGTGGCCCATAAGGGACAAGATAGACAAGATGCTTCAAACGAAAAACGACGGAGTTGCTGTATGTTAGACGAGTTGCTGTATGTTAGACGAGTTGCTGTATGTTAGACGAGTTGCTGTATGTTAGACGAGTTGC